GGTAGTCCTCAGATCACCTTGACTGTTCTTCCTCCACCCTGTCAATCCATAACAAAGAAATTATAACCTGTTTAAAAAAATAATTCATGTACCCATTATAATTCCTGTCCAGAGCCCTACATTTGGACACTTTATTGGATTTCATCCTTATTCCCATATTTATTTTTATACCCATATTTATTTTTATAGAGATTTGTTTTGAGTGAGTTCCATTCTTTCTCTCTTCTTTTGCTCAGGGTCACTCTTCTTTAGCCTGCTCATGTTGCCTTCAATCATTAAATCTGCCCTCATCACCTCTGTTGATGCATTCATTTTCTCACTCTTGCATAGGCTTTCCCTGACACACACCATGTCTCTTTAACTACCAGTACTTCCTATGCCTATTCCCTCATTATTTTCCTTGCACATATAGTATATAGTACACATGCATGGATATTGCCTTTGTTTTCTTTGCTACTTTCCTACTTTCCCTTCCCCTGCCCATTCCCCTTGACCTCTCCCCACAGTAGAGGCAGGAACTTGCATCCAGTTCTTCACCGTTTACTACCGAGCTCCTAAAAAATGTCCAAGCACATAGTAGTTACTCAAGAAGTATTTATGAATTAATGAGAGATTAACTGATTCTAGATCTCCTGAAATCTCTGGAACTCCTTATCTCCAGCTCCCTTTCTTCCTCTATTTACTTTCCAAAAGTGATTGTTTTATTATTGCTTCATTATAAGCGCTTAGTTCTTTTCTTTTTCTTTCATTTCTTTTGTTTTATAGGTCACTTGGAAAGACTTGTTTAAGGATTCATCAGCAATATAAGGGGCATTAGGCCACTGCACCAGTGTTGATGCACTATGCTATATGGTGGTCTTTAGAAAAACACGAAATGTAGAACATTTAGATATATATTCCAGAGTAGAAAGCTGACATGTATATGGCTTGTGTAACCACAAGCTCTGACGTGCAGTGCTCTTATTTTCTGGAGTTCTTTCTCTGGGTTACAGATCACCATGGCACCTGGATCCATCATGACAGCCCCCATCTGTCTAGTGGAAAATGAGGAACAGCAGCTGAGGGTAAACCGAGAAGCACTGAGCATTCTGGAGGAGATCTCAGAGCCGGTGGTGGTGGTGGCCATCGCAGGGCTGTGTCGCACAGGGAAGTCCTACCTAATGAACCGCCTGGCAGGACAGAACCATGGTGAGTGCTCCTCAGGGCCAGGGGACACGGGTTTTCCACAGTGACATGACAGGCTGATGGCACGTCTTTAAGTTTCATTTTAGCAATAGCCTAGCAGTTCCCACTGCAGAACAGTAATTATTATTGATAAGTTTATCACCTCAACCCCATCTGTCCCCAAATCTCTCTATCTTCTTCTAATAAAAGATTTCTCCAACTTCATCACAGGATACCTCATTAATTCAATCACAGTTGCTCTGTTGTGATCAGGAGCTCAATTTCAAGTATTCGTTTACTTATTCCAACATCAATTTTCCTCTAAACTAGGATCTTCAGAAGAAATGCAAATATTGTTCAATTGGCCCTCTTTATGAAAATGGATGGAGAAACAACAGATAGTAAAAACCCAGGATATTCCATCTAAATGATGCTTCCATAAAGTTTTTTGCAACATATCATAGCAAAATTTGATCATTTATATTCCCTTCTCATTCTCTATTTGACATTTTCTAATGTAAAGCTATAACATGTAGAGACAGTTGCAAAAAGAATATATATATGTGTGTATATATATATGTATGTATATATCTATATATATATATATACACACACACATGATAAATTTAATCAGTATAAATGGATTAGCTCTGGAATCACTGTCTAGATATAGAAATAAAACATCAACAACATATAGAAGCCAATATCACACCCTCTCCTACTAGAGTTCATCAATGTTTATATTTTCATGGAACATTCTTTCACTCTTCATTTTTAAAATTAGTTTTATAACCTGCATATGCATTTCTAAAAAGTAGCTTAAACTTTATATAAAGGGATTTATGTTTCTGGTAAACCTGCTCTATTGCACCACCAGAAGTTTACAGTAAAGTCCTTGGAGTTTTTCATAGGTATATGTTATTTATTTTTACACACAGTACTTTACTATTATCCAAAGATGCCACAATTTATATATCCATTTGTTGTTGATGAACATTGGTATTATTTCTACATTTTATTAATGGTGCTACCATGAATATGATTGTATTTAGATTTCTTGTTTTTGTGATATTTGCAGAGTTCTTAGAATATCACACCCTCTCCTACTAGAGGAGTGTTCATTTTCAACATTTTAGTTATCAACAGACACCTTTTCAAACTTTACATACAATTTGTATGCTTTTTAGATAATAGTAATTTAGAATTCTCCACAAACTAAGAAATTTTTGGTAAATGCACTGTTTATTGCTGAGTTGGTGAATATTTAAATATGTATACAGTTATTGGCCTCACACTGTATTGTTTGAAACTTCTGCCAATGTCTTTACTATTTGGATTTCTTATTTGATGAATTCCATTCTAAATTGATGCCTCTTTGGGTACTTGTGATGTTTTAAGATCCAAAAAAGTAGATCAGGAGGCCCTGAACTACCATGAGAACTATGGATGCCTTGCTAGTGGGTGGGTGTAGTAATGGACACTTGAAGAGCTGTGTGAACCTATATCATATACAGTGTTGTATGCCATGTTACCTCAATAGGTAAAACAAAATTTCTAAAAATTTTTTAAAACAAACTCATAGTTTGAGTCACTGATGGTGTGACTCAACCAAAAATATAAAATCCCTCTTGAGAATTTCCTTAACATGTGTAAAGTTGGGGCATTTGCCCTTGGTGAAATAGCAGCAGTTTTCCTCTCAACCAGGGATCAATTACAGGCCCTTCACTTTCTCTCTTTGGTGTTTTCTACTGTACAAGCTAACACACAGATAGGGGTGCTTAAAAAGACAAATATAATAAATTTAGTCAATATAAACTAATAAACTACAGACTATAAATTTAACCAATACATCCCACGGACAACACATGGACATCCAATAATACGTTCTCCTCTTCCACTTCAGGTTTCCCTCTGGGCTCCACTGTGCAGTCCAAAACCAAGGGCATCTGGATGTGGTGTGTGCCCCACCCCTCCAAGCCAGACCACACCCTGGTCCTTCTGGACACTGAAGGGCTGGGAGATGTGGAAAAGGTGAGGCAGAGCATCTTCTTGATCTTGAAACCCCACTTATATTTCATCTTCTTGATCTTGAAACCCCACTTATATTTCACTTCAATTCAGTTTCATGACATATTCCTAGAATGATGAGGTTAAGTTCTGTTTCTTGAATTTGTTTTCCTTAAGGAGCACTACTTTACTCATTAGGAAAAGACTTGCTCATTTATAATATTGCATTGAAAGATACTCGTCAAACTTCCTGGATTGCTGATTTGAGGTTTTTGTGTTAAGTACTATAGACACCCTAGTGAAGGAAATAAACACCCAGCGCCTAGTTAGGAAGGTTAGATAAGCAGGTTATCAGTACAGGCCACCATGAATATTAAAAGGAAGAAGTGAACCTAATCATTTAGGATATCAGAAACATCTGTAGGAAGCAATACCCTATTGGGTCTATAGACTGTTCTAATTACCATGTGTAAGGGAGGAAGGGGGTTGGTGAATTAATGGATGTGAGAGTAGGAACCACAAACATAGGAGTTCAGTGAAATAGTCTAAAAAACAATCCCAAGAAAAGCTTTAGCTATGCCAGGACTGCTCATTCAATTTTAGAGCAATTCTCTGAGTTTTGAAGATGAATTCTTCTTGATTATATAAAGCCACGAATACACCCACCAAAAATATTATAGATGAAATAATTTTAATGTTTTCAGTCAGAGCTCCATTTATTTTCTCCTTATTTATGTTAGACTAAATTGGAAGGAGCAGCAGTTGTTCCATTACTATCAAAAAGAGTGATAGCATTAATTTAGAAATTCTGAATTTAAAACTTGCAGCATAAAATATTGAATATATCTAATATAAATTCATAATGATCTACTGATTCTGAAGAGATTGTGGCTTTCACAAACCTTTTTTGTACCTGATTGCATTTATCAATGTATCAAAACATACCAAATTGTATGTTAACAGCAACAAAGCTATTGTTTTCTTTGCAAGTTGCAGTGTATTTGAGTGTTACCTGGTTCTATGACAAGTCACACACATAGCAGTCCTAAATCTCACTTTCAGCCATCTCATCCACTGCCACACAAATAATCAACCACTACAGTCCAATAAAAATCTTTGTAATACCTTATCTCTGCACTCCAACAATACAGTTGTTTTTATTGGTCCCTCTACCTCACAGTACATTAATCTTCACAAGTCTACATTCTGTCATGTTTAAAGCTATGCTGCTTTCAACCTAATGTTATCATATTCTATTTAAACACAAATGTTGCTTATTCTCAATTACAATACATTTAATATTTTATTGAAAGTCCCCTTTTGTCTTGATTATGTGGACATGGTTGTCTCATTCCCAAAGGCATCTTCTTGAGGCAGGAACTTTATATCCACACAAATAAATGCAGCATCATATATGTTGTAGATGTGTAGTAAGAAGGGTTAACTTCATTTAAATAAATAATTGAGCCCCTATTAGAGCCAGTGATTCAAAAAAAATTACACAAGTATCAAGCTTACTTCTATGTCTAGTCAGTATAAATATTTCACAGCTTAATAGTGGCAGTCATTGCTAATGCTACCTGCTCAACTATCTTAAATTGTGAGAGGAATCAATCTAAATACCAAATTGATGTTCAGTTTACAGTTATTTTAAAGGTTATGATTTTTTAAAGTGTTTTATTTATTTATTAAAAAAATAAAATAGTTTATTTTTAAATCATTTTGTGCATTTTTCCATTTCAGTTGTAATCCCCTTGGGCTTCCCATCACCCATCATCCATGTGCCATCACCAAAGTCCAGTGCATTTACCTCCCCCCCCAGTGTTTTTTATCCCATTCCCCACTCTCCACCCCCATAAATTGTCTCTGGTATATAACTGTTCATTATTATTATTATTATTATCATCATCATCATCATCATCATCACCATCATCATCATTATTATTATTATTATTATTTTCTCTCCTGATCCATTATACTCCTGCTATGAGTGAAACCATTCAGTATTTTTCCTTTTCTTTCTGGCTTATCTCACTAAGCGTGATCTTTTCCAGCTCCATCCATGTTGCTGCAAAGGACATGTATTTCTTTTCTTTGGTTGCTGAGTAATATTCCACTGTGTATATGTACCACATCTTTTTAATCCAGTCCTCCATTTTTGAGCATTTGGGCTGTTTCCATATCTTTCCAACTGTAAACAATGTAGCAATAAACATGGGGGTGCAAGTATCTTTTTCAATCAGTGTTTTTGTGTCTTTTGAATAGATACCTGGGAGTGGGATTGCTGGGTTATAGGGAAGCTCCATGTTTAGCTTGAGGAACCTCCAAATAGCTTTCCATAGTGGTTGTACTAGTTTCTATTCTACCAGCAGTGCAGGAGAGTTCCTTTTTCTCCACATCCTTGCCAACATTTGTTGTTGCTAGTTGTTTTAAGATGTCCCATTCTCACTGGGGTGAGGTGGTATCTCATTGTGGTTTTAATTTGCATCTCCCTTATTACAAGTGATGTTGAACATTTTTTCATATGCTTGTTTGGCCATCAGCATTTCCTCTTTGGAGAAGTGTCTTTTTAGCTCTTCTGCTCGCTTTTTGATGGGGCTGTTTCCTTTTTCTTTGTTGAGTTTCATCAGTTCTCCGTATATTTTTGTGATCAATCCTTCATCACTAGTTTAGCGTGAGAACATTTTTGCCCAATTAGTGGGTTATCTGTTTGTTTTTTGTAATGTCTCTTTTGCTGTACAGAAGCTCTTTAACTTGATGTAGTCCCATCTATTTATCCTTGCCTTCACTATCGCTGCACTGGGTGATCTATCTTTAAAGATGTTGCTGAAGTGTATGTTGTGTAGTGTTTGGCCCATCTTTGCTTCCAGGTATTTTATGCTTTCCGTTCTTATCCACTTCGAGTTGATTTTTGTGTATGGAGTGAGGTATTGATCTAGCTTCATTTTTTTGCATGTAGCTTCCCAGTTTTCCCAGCACCATTTGGTGAACAAACTTTCTTTGTTCCATTGTATCTTCTTTGCTCCTTTGTCAAAAATTAGCTGACATAAACTTGTGGGTTTATATCTGGGTTTCTATTCGAATCCACTGGTCTGTATGTCTGTTCTTGTTTCAGTACCATGCCATTTGATTATTATGGCTTTGTAGTATAGCTTGAAGTTTGGGATTGTAATGCCTCCATTCTGTTTCTTCTTAGACATGAGGGTTTTAGCTATTCAAGGTCTTTTGTTGTTCTATATGAATCTCATCAATATTTTTTTCTATTTCTTTGAAAAATGTCATTGAGATTTTTATGGGGATGGCATTAAATCTGTATATTGCTTTTGGCAGGATGGCCATTTTGATGATGTTAATTCTCCTGATCCATGAGCAGGGGATGTCTTTCCATTTCATGGTGCCTTCTTGTATTTTTTTTTTAACAATGTTTTGTAATTTTCTTTGTAAAGGTCTTTTACCTCTTTTGTTAGGTTGACTCCCAGGTATTTGATTCTTTTTGTTTTAATTGAAAAGGGGATGGGTTTTTTTTTCTTTTTGCTTCTTTTGATTGGTTGTTTGTGTACAGAATGGCCTCTGACTTTTGTGTGTTGATTTTATATTCTGCTACCTTGCTAAACTGGTTGATGGTTTTGGTTAATTTCTCTGTGGGGTTTTTAAGGTTTTCCATGTAAATTAACATGTCATCTGCAAAGAAGGACAGTTTTACTTCTTCTTTCCCTATTTGGATTCCTTATATATCTTTTTCTTGTCTTATTGCTCTGGCTAGAACTTCCAATGTTATGTTGAAGAGCAGTGGCGATAGTGGACACCCTTATCTTCCTCCTGATCTCAAAGGAAAGGTTTTCAGCTTTTCTCCATTGAGGATAATATTGGCTGTGTGTTTATCATAAATGGCTTTTATCATGTGGAGGTATGTTCCTTCTATTCCGAGGATTTCAAGGGCCTTAAACATAAATGGGTGTTGAGCTTTGTTTAATGCTTTCTCTGCATCTATTGATATGATTATGCGGTTTTTATTCTTCTGTCTGTTGATGTGATGGATTACATTAATTGATTTTTGATGCTGAACCATCCTTGCGCTCCTGGGATAAAGCCCACTTGGTCTTGATGCATTATTTTGTTGGCTTAGATTTTGTTGAGGATTTTTGCATCAGTGTTCATTAGGGAGATTGGGCTGAAGTTTTTGTTAGGTTTTTGGTATTAGTGTGATGTTGGCTTCATAGAAAGTATGTGGTAGCTTTCCTCCTTTTTCAATTTTTTTTGGATGAGTCTGTGCAGAATAGTCACTAGTTCTTTTCTGAATGTTTGGTAAAATTCATTTGTAAATCCATCTGGCCCTGGACTTCTATTTTTAGGGAGGCTTTTGATTATTTCTTCAATTTCCTTGCTTGTAATTGGCCTGTTTAGTTGTTCTAGCTCTTCTTTATCTAGCTTTAGGTGGTTGTAGAAATTTGTCCATTTCTGCTGAATTGTTAAACTTGTTTGCATATAGTTGTTCATAGCATTCTCTTATTATTCTTTTGACTTCTGCTGGGTGTATTGTGATTTCTGCTCTTTTGTTTATGATTCTGTTTATTTGTGCTTTCTCTTGTTTTTTTCTTTGTGAGCCTGGCTACTGGCCTGTCTATTTTGTTTATTTTCTCGAAGAACCAACTTTTGGTTTCATTGATTTTTTTGGACTGTTTTCCTAACTTCCATTTCATTTATTTCTGATTTGACTTTTATTATTTCCTGTCCTCTACTGACTTTTGGGTTATTTTGTTGTTCTTTTTCCAGTTCTTTAAGGTGGGAGACTACGTTGTTTCTTTGAGTTATTTCTTGTTTCTTTATGTGATCCTGCATTGTTATAAATTTTCCTCTTATAACTGCTTTTAATGCGTCCCATAAGTTCTGGAGACTTGCATCATCATTGTCATTCTTCTCAGGTATTTTTTAATTTCTTCTTTGATCTCCTCATTGATCCAATGGTCTTCCAGTAGTGTGGGTTTCAGTCTCCACGTGGTAGGTGGGTTTCTTCTTTTCCTCATATGGTTTATTTGTAGTTTGACGCCTACATTGTCAGAGAAAATAGTTGGCATGATTTTGATCTTAATGTATCTATTGCTATTTATCTTATGACCCAGTATGTGATCAATCCTAGAGAATGACCCATGTGGATTTGAGAAAAATGTGTATTCAGATTTTTAGGGGTGCAGTATTCTATAGATGTCCGCTAGACCCATGTTGTCCAGGTCCTTGTTCAGAACTTTAGTGTCTCTGCTTATTTTTTGTCTGGTTGATGTGTCCATTGTGGAGAGTGGTGTGTTGAAGTCTCCTACTATGTATGTATTTTCTCTGATATACGTTTTCATAGATGACAGTATTTTCTTGATATATTTTGGTGCTCCTTCATTTGGTGCATATATATTGATGATTGTTATGTCTTCTTGTTGTGCTGTCCCCTTAATCATAATGTAGTGGCCTTCCGTGTCTCTTTTAACCTTTTTTAGTTTGAAGTTTATTTTATCTGATATAAGTATAACTGTTCCTGCCTTCTTTTGTGATCCATTTGCTTGTAGGATTGTTCTCCGTCCTTTTATTTTTAACCTGTTTTTATCTTTTGTAGTTAGATGTGTTTCCTGTAGGCAGCAGAATGTTGGGTTCTGTTTTTTAATCCATCCTGCCACTCTGTGTCTTTTTATTCATGAGCTTAAGCCATTTACATTTATAGATAATATTGATATTTGGCACCTACATTTGCCATTTTGGTCCTTTTTGTATTTTTATTCCTTATTTGAACTGTTCCTTATTTGCTTATTCTTCTGTTGCGTTTGGCTTGAGGGCTTCTTGGTTGGCATTTAATGCTTTGGAGTTTGTTGAGTATGTCCTTCCACTCTCTTCTTGCCCGTAGTGTTTCTTCAGCGAAGTCTGATGTTAGCCTGATTGGTTTCCCTTTATAGGTTATTTGTTTCTTCCCTCTTGTCATTCTCATTATGTTTTCCTTTTCTTGTATTCTAGGAAGTTTTACTAAGATGTGTCTTGCTGTATTTCTCCTGTTGTCATGGTAGTTTGGTGTTCTTCTTGCTTCTTGGATGTCGACTTTCATATCCTTCTTATTAGGGAAGTTCTCCTCTATCATCTTTTTGAATATTTTCTCGATTCCTTAGCCTTTCTCTTCACCTTCTGGGATACCTATAACTCTGATGTTTCCTTTCTTACTGGTGTCAGATAGTTCTTGAAGTGTTTCTTCATTCCTTTCCCTTTTACTTCTCTTTCTTTTTCTTTTTTAATTCTCTTTGTTTCTGTGTCTTCGAGTGTGCTGATTCATTCTTCCATTTCATCTATTCTGTTTCATTACTTTTCCCAGCATCCTTTATTTCTTCTAATTATCCTTTCATCATCTGCATTTCTTCTATTTCCTTTTTTAGTGTCTAATTTTCTTTCTTCAGTTCGTTGATTGCTTATCTCATATCTTTTTTTTTCTTTTTCATTTCATTCATTCATTTCCTTGTTTGCATTCTTCATTTCCATGAAGGCTTGCCTCATATAATTTTTTTCCTTCTCATCTTTTTTTCTTTTTTTATAATGATGATTCTGAATTCTCTATAGGTAGACTGAGCAGTTCTTCTATTTTTTTTTTGTGGTTTCTACTGACTGATCTTTTTGTGGTGAATTTTCCCCCTGTGGACTTTCTTGGGTATTTGTTTTGTCTTTTTTCCCCCTGTTGTGTATTTTCTTATACTTTCTATTCGCTGAGACACGGTGTTGCTATTATTGACCAGCATTCACTCTAGATATTCTTTCTAGGGTGGCTGAGGTACCTCCAGATACTTCAGTTGTGGAGGATATTCTGAGTTGTGCTTTGTTTCAATATAGCTTGCTTTTGTAGCCCCCACTGTGTGGAATTGTGTCTGTTGTCTCAGCCAGTAATAGTCGGGGTCTCTTGTGGTGTTTTGGCTTCTTCCAGTAACACCATGAGTCCTTTTCTCTGGAAGATGCCTGCTGCTTTTTTAGCCTCTAGTGTCCCAGATTCCCTCGATGTTTAGATGTCTCCATTGAGGGTGGGGTACATTAGAAGTGTTGTAGGTCTCCCTACAACTGGGCCTGTGATTGAGTTGGTCAGTGGTTTTGTTTTACTTTCTGAGTACTGTGAACCTTTCTGGCTGACAAGTCTTTAGGCCTTTGTGAGTTGGGTTGTCTCTCCTTATATCCATACAGGCTGAAGGGTAGCAAGCCTCCTTCTAAGGCACTTCTTAGTGCCTGGGCACCAAGACACTCTGGGTCCTAGCACCTGGGTGATCCTGGATCTGGGCTGCAGCCATTCTTTACTGTTTGGATTCCACTCACCCAGATGTGCTGTCTCTCCTTACCTCCAGGGAAGGAAAGGGAGGAAGGGAAGCAAGTCTCCTTCTAGAGCCTGCGCACTTGGACGAGCTCCAGGGTCCTAGCACCTGGGCGCCTGGACTGTCTGGGTTTGGGGCTGTAGCCTTTTACTGCAGCCTTCACTCACCTGCTGCACTGTCTCTCCTTATCTCCAGGGCTGGCCAAGGGGGAAAGGGAAGCAAGTCTCCTTCTAGTGACTGGGTACCTGGGCACGCTCCTGGGTCCTAGCACCTGGGCACCCAGGAGATCCAGGATGGGAGATCCGGATTCGGGGCTGCAGCCTTCACTGCAGCTTTAATTCCACTCACCCAGCTGAGCTGTCTTTCCTTATCTCAAGGGCAGACTGAGGGGGGAAGGGGAGCAAGTCTCCTTTTAGTGCCAGAGCAAGCTCCTGGGTCCTAGCACCTGGGCGCCCAGCCAATATCCAGATTGGGGTTGCAGCCTTTCCTTGCAGCTGGGATTCCACTCACCCAGCTGTGCTGTCTCTCCTTATCTCCTGGGTGGCCCAGGGGGGAAGGGATGCGTATCTCCTTCTAGAGCCTGAGTGCCTGGGTGCCCAGGTGAGCTCTGCTCCCAGTGCTAGCACCTGGGCACCCGGGCAGTTTGGGTTGGGGTTGCAGCCTTTCACTGAAGCTTGAGTTCCACTCACCTAGTTGTACTGTCTCTCCTTATCTCTAGGGCAGATGGGTGGGGGGGAAGGTAAGCAAATCTCCTTCTAGAGCCTGAGTGCATAGGTGCCCTGGTGAGCTCCTGTTCCGGTCCCGGGTCCTAGCACCTGGGCATCTGGCTAATCAGGTTTGGGGATGCAGCTTTTTGCTGCAGCTTGAATTCGACTCACCCAGCTGTGCAGTCTCTCCTTATCTCCAGGGCAGGCGGAGTGGGGGAAGGGAAGCAGGTCTCCTCCTGGCCACTGGTAACTCCTGAATCTGATCAGAGTTCCTCTATCCGAACTCCCCAAATGCCAATTCTCCCTCAGTTATCTTCCTTCTAGTGAGTCCAGGGTATTCTCATTTGGGCTGAAAGTCACAGTATATAAGTCCATAGACTGTATTCAGTCCTATAATCCTGTGTGAGTTTGGAGGTAGTGATTCCAGCGTCTTTACTCTGCCGCCATCTTGCCAGAACCCCAAGTTTATGATTTTTTACACTACTATTCAGCAAACAATACAAACCAGTGAAGAAATTAATAGTGAAGGAAGAGTAAGCTCCTAAATCCCTTAACTAATGCACTCTCTAGGGTGACCCCAAGAATGACTCGTGGATCTTCACACTGGCATTGCTACTCAGCAGCGTATTTGTCTACAACAGCATTGGCGCCATCAACCACCAGGCCCTGGAACAGCTGCAGTATCCTTTCTGAGCAAAACCGAATTGTGTTATCAGTGTGCGCATATTGTACTCACTCTATTTTTTCCTCATAATTCAGTTCCATGGAGAAGTGGGAAAAGGGAGACAAATAAGAATGTTTATAAAACAGTCGGTTTTTTTTTATTATTTATTTATGTATTCCTACAGAACTGGGGTACAGGCCAGAGTTGCAGGGGCAGTGAGAGGATTCACCAGGGACAGAGTGGGGAGCAGAACAGGCAGATCAACGAAGTACACTGCTGAGGGGAGCAGCGGGTGGGTTAGGAGAGATCTGCCGCGCCATGTGGTCACCTCCAGGGCAGGAATCGAACTCATGCGGAAGTGGCTTTAGCTTTTTACTGCAGTGCTTTAACCCACTGTGCCACCAGGGAGGGCTGTTTAATACAGTTTTAGGAGAGAGATCTGGAAGTTTTGTCAAAGGACCCTTCTCTTTCCTTAGCTAAGATCCCAGCTATGTGACTGAACTAGCAGAGCTCATAAGGACAAAACCCTCTCCCAGCTGTGATGAAATACATGACTCAGCCGAGTTTGTGAGTTTCTTTCCAGACTTTGTTTGGACTCTCCGTGATATGGTGCTGGAGCTCAAGCTAGATGGTCACCCCATCACTGGAGACGAGTACCTAGAGAATGCCTTGAAGTTGATTAAAGGTATAGAGAATGTCCTGGGTGATGGCAGTTCAGTGGAAGTGGGATGAACTAAGCCTACTTTTTTTAACAGTTGCAATGAAACGTTACTTAATTTTGCATTGAAACTTATGACATTGGTTATTGGTATATTGGTATATGGGTAAGGCAGCCATCATTATTACTGGAAAAATTCCAGTGACCAGAGTTTAAGCTCACTAAGGAAATTTAGAATCCATTATTATTAATCCATTATTTAAAAAAAATCGATACCTTGAAAAAAATTCATAGTTATAACCAGTGTTCAGACTTCCTAAAGCTACATAGCTCTTTACTTACTCAGTTTATGTGTTCCTCTAGTTTCAGTTAGAGAGGAAAAATGTTCATTTCATTAGAAGTCTTTAACACAGAAGTGCAAACTTGTCAAATTACCAAACTATTGAAATATAGTTCATGCTGTTTATTTTACTAACCTACATAGTTATGTTCTTCATTTAAAGAGATTTTAAACACTAAAGGTTTCCAAAAAATCATTGATCTATCCCTCCAGTCAGACTGTCAAATTCTTTATATTTGGTTTACCAGAGCAACACATTCTTTATTCTATAGTTTTACATTTAGCATAGTCATATTAATATAAACTATTCATTTTTAAGATTACACTTAACAGATATAATGGATGATACCTAGAATCAAATTTCATTTTGGTTCATTTAGCTACTTATTCACACTTTCAACAAATATTTATTTGACAATTGATACATACCCAGAATCCCTCTGATAACATTATCAAGTTCAACATAATTGCCATAGAGAATTTGTGAGGTCTCCAAATTGCAAGGCTCAACTTTGGCATCTGGTGCGGTCAAAGGAATCTTTAAACATAACTTCTCTTCTCTAGTCATTGTCAATTTATTTGTGGAGCCCTGATTTTATAAAGATTTTTGTACTTTCCTGATTATTAACTGTTCCTTACATGGTATTTTCCCATACACACCATGCATACCTTGACTGATGTCTATGCTTTACTTAAGAACCCACATTTTGCTACTAACAAGCTATCAAACAGTACTTCTGAAAACTCTTTTCATTAAACCGTCATTCAAAAAACATCTAATAAATGTGACCCCACCACAGCATCAAGTCTACACAAAATGTTCATAGGTTTCTGCACTTGAAATGGAGGCTTCCTTTCTCCTATATGATGTTCTTTTTCACTCTTGCTTCTGTATAAAGAAAGGTTTCTCCATATTTTGGGCAGAATCATATAATGTCGATTTACATGATTATAAAAGGAACTTTACTGGCACAATGTCGAGATGGATCAAAGATCTCTGGAAATGAATGTCTTCAGCCCCTAGCTTGAAAGCATTCTCTCAGTGATAATTTTTTCTCCATTCATGAAGGTGGTCGTCCCCAAATCCAAAATTCCAACCGGACTAGAATGTGTATTAGGAAGTTCTTTCCAAAGCGGAAGTGCTTTGTCTTTGACCGACCTACAAGTGACAGCAAACTCTTGCTCCATATGGAGGAAGCGTCAGAAAGTCAACTGGATTTGAAATTCCAAGATCAATCCCAAAGATTCTGTTCCTATATTTTCACACAAGCAGAAGCCAAGACCCTAAGGGAGGGGATCACTGTGACTGGAAATGGTGAGTATCTTGGTATGACGTACCTCTGTGGCTCAGTGTGTGTGATGGAGCTCATCACTCCCTGGGCTTGACAACATTGTTGTGTCTTTCTCTGTGTCATACAGAAAGGCAGGGGCTCATGGCACACATGGAGATGCATACTTCTTCCCTAAATTCTCCCTATGAAGGGGTTTATTGAAACTAATACACTAATGATGTGAGCAATGGCTGCTGCTAAAACGGAATAGAGGGGCATCACATAAGGGATCAGGAAAAAAAAAATAACAACAAAAGAAAAAGTACAACATAACCAAACAAAAGTAATCAGACAACTATAGATCAGGGATATTTGTAGGGAAAGTGGGAGTGAGAGGGTATAAAATGAGGCTGGGAATAGCACAACAGACTAAAGTGATGGTGCACAGGTGAATTGGTGGTGGAAGTTCTATGTGGAATACAGCTGATGTAAAATATACATAAATAAAGAAATTAAATATACATATATAAATCTGTGAAGATGAGTTGATGGGAAAATGTTTCTCCTGTGGATGCATGGGATGTCTGTGATATTACAGCAGATACAAAATAACTGAAAGGACATGTGTCTCTGAATGCTCATTGAAAATTTGAAGACTGTTTAAATAGAATATTCTGGCTAGGGCTAGATCATGGGCAGGCCTCATGGGCAGACACAGTCTCCTGTGTTCAAAATGACCTGTGCCTGAATAATGGCACTCACCTGAAGTCTTTAATGATTTCTTTTATGAGGGTGTTATTTTTATATAAAAAGAGAGCCAATGAATTATGTACTTAACTGTAAAATAAGCTCTTTTTTATTTGTTTTCCTGTGAACGAGGTTTTCCAGAAAGTCTTTGAACATATAGAGTGATAATAATATACTATGGCAAGATTATGAGTTAGAGAACCATAAGAAAGAGAGTGAAGGAAACGAAGGACATTATTAGAGGATGTGAATTCATAGAACTTGAAAGAGAAGATGAAAATGATGAACAAGGTTGAAGATGCAGCAAAGATGAAAACAAAGTTATTTCAATAAACTTTTTGTGATTTTTAGATTGTTGGGCTCTAAATGTTATAAATTCTTTTTATACCCTAAATACCCTATGTCATTCAGGGCTGGGAAGTCTCGTTGTGACTTATGTGGACACCATCAACAGTGGAAGTGTACCTTGTTTGGAGGATACAGGGACAACTCTGGCCCAACTCAAGAACACAGAGGCTGTGCGGAAGGCAGCCGACCACTACAGCCAGCAGATGGCCCAGAGAGTGCAGTTCCCCACAGACACGCTCCAGGAGCTGTTAGACCTGCACACTGCCTGTGAGAAGGAGGCCATCACAGTCTTCATGGAGAACTCCTTCAAGGATGACCAGCAGGAATTCCAGAAAAAATTTGTGGTAATAAGTCTTAGCCTTCATTGCCCTTATTTCTGTGTTTCCAGAATGAGAGAGGCCTACTCACCCTGCTCAGCCCGATGGATCATGTGTTCTCTCATGTTTTTTCTAAAAGAGTGACTATTTTTTTTAAAAAATAATTTATTTATATATATTTTATATCATTTTTCACATTTGTGCAATGTTTCTTTTGAATTCTCAGGGTAGTCTCCACAAAATTTCCACCACAAAATCACCCTTCCACCATCACCAAATCCCCTTGTGTAAAAACACATTCCCTTCCCTGTTTGAGCACTCTTTCCCCTTTTCTGCAGAGTCACTGATTACTAGTTGCCTGTTAATTCTGCTTTTTAATTATTATAATTACTTATGCCCTGTTTCCTTACTTGGTTTCCTTACTTTCTTCCTGTAAGAGTGGCTTTTTCCCCCAGTGTTATGACAGAACAAGTTACCATGAATTATGAATTTAGCATCTTAAAACATTTTACAGCTCATAGTTCTTTTTGTCAAATCCCAGTACATGATGGTATCAGCCCCCTGCTCAGCTCATGTACAAGTAGAAAGCAAGTTTCAGCTGAGCCTATTGTATCATATGTAGACCCTGAGGTACCACCCTCCTCCAATTTAATCCACCAAGAACACATGCCATCCACCTTTTTTCCTCAAATTATATAACTGTCCCAAATTAAATAACAGTACTTTAAAGGTTCATGTATTACATAATGCCCATCTGGTAATCTCTTTGTTTTCAAGTCCACTTTATACATAGCCAAATCACAGGGTTGATATAGTCCCAGAGAAAATGCAGGTCTACCCACCAGAAGGGAGAACTTTAGCAGGGCCTACTCTTAGCAATGACTCTTAATAATGACTCTTAACAGGAGCACCTTTGCTGAAAGTTTGCTTTGAGTTTGCACTTGGCCAAATTGCAACAATCAGTTAATTCATATACAAGAAAGAGTTGCAATTTACAACTAAACTAACTCATTTCTATTCCTAATATTCACTCAAAGAAACATCATTGAAGTAACTTATGACAGGTTCAGAACTCTGTTCAGAAAACACTCAACTCACAAATGAGCAGTTGCTATGCTATGTATATATGTGTATCATACCAACTCCAAATAGAGAAGAAAGTCTACTTCCTGTCATCCAATAACATTTCCATTGTTCAGTGTTCATGGGCGGAGCTCTGTTAATTGTATAATACTAAAGTAAGCATTGATCATACTTTATTGCATATTTAAAGTGCTTGGGGGATAGCTCACAAAAGAGCTTATTAAAAGAAAATGATTTATCACTATGTCAAATGACAAATGTTAACGAGAGTCTTGTTGTGACCATTGTGCAGTGTTGGCAAGTATCAAATTATAGTGTGGAGCAAATGAAACTAATATTTTATGTCAGTTACACCATAATTAAGAACTTAAACAGACACTATTGAGCTTATGACTATCTACCCCCATCATTTCACAGATAATGACCTCAGCCTGCTGGAGAGGAGGAATTTTCATAAGTTATGAAGAAAATTGTCCAGAACTGGGGCTAAAACAAGACCCCTGATGCTTGGTCATTGCATGTTTCATCCACTCTTAGGTGACCACTGCTTCTTCCAGAAGGATCCCAGTTGGACTTTCTCTCCTAACAACTTCTTTCTTTTGTATTTCTCTACACTGGCAGGAAACCATAGAGAAAAAGAAGGAAGAGTTCTTGCTGCAGAATGAAGATGTGTCTTGCAACTATTGCCAAGCTGAGCTTAGGAAGCTTTCAGAGTCTTTAATGGAGAGTGTCTCCAGAGGAACATTCTGTGTGCCTGGAGGACACAGTCTTTACTTAGAAGCAAAGAACAAAGTTATGCAGGACTATGAGCTGGTGCCCAGAAGAGGAGTTAAGGTGAGGAATAAACAGCAGAGAAGATGAGAAGAGCCATATTGGATGCTGGGGTCTAACACTACAGCATTACTTGTGTAGATAAAGGAAAGTATAGGGATAGCTCCTTTTAGCTTTTGTTTCCAAATTATATGGATACTCTTAAATAAACAAGAAATGTTTCTTTCCAAATACGGGACTTATTGTCAGGAATCTAAGTGAAAAAGATGACTCCACCACTTAGCAAAAAAATGTAACCATTTTTGTATTAAGTATGAGAATACATAATGAAAGAAAAAACAGGGTTCTTATGAAGTTTAGTCTTCTCAGAGAAGGACAAATACACAGTCCACTGGATATGTTGAGATTAACAGTTGTCACAGGTTTATATGTTGAAAGTGACGATGATGATGATGTTGACAGAAGATTTATGAGAGGCCTATTTTGAGTACTCACTTCCTACGTCCACTGTATAGTGAATCCTTAAAAGAATGTAAATTACTACTTCCAGTGAACTATAAATTTCATTATAAAATCAAGGAAAGGAATTAACGGAGAAGTTAATTTGCCTACAAGTATTTGACATCAAATGGTAGAGCTGGTAGGGAAGCTCATACCCAGCAACCATTGAAATTTCAGAAAGAACTTAAGGAAACTTCTCTGGAAGAAAAGGTAAGATCTACCTGTTTTAGTATCTGTAAGTAATATCTTGGTAAATAAGATACATAAGCATCTAGTCAGAAGTAGAAAATGTGCAAACACAGCAAACAAAAGACACTTTGTCCCTGTATAAAGGACGTAAATCTGGAAGTGTGTGACCTGGGAAATAGGGTGGGAGGCATGCTTAAAAAAGAAACAGTAGAACTAAAGAGAGAGATGCTTTAGCTTGGTGTTTGGTTTGGCCTTGAAGGAAAAGTACCACTGTGCATACTAAAGTGGATGAGGAATTTAGGGAGTACTATTTATAGTTTCATTGAGCCATAATTTCCTAGTAAGAGACTAGATCTTTGCTGCCTGACTGTGCCTTTACTTCCCCGTTGTTTCCTCAGGCGAAGGAGGTCCTGCAGACCTTTATGCAGTCACAGAAAGCAACACAGGAAACCATCCTGTGGGCTGACAAAGCCCTCACTGATGAGATGAAGGCCAAAGCAGGTAGGAAGCAGGGAGGGAAGATCCTGTGGTATAATGACAGGGTGAAAGGAAAATCTTTCTGAAACAACCAGCATCTTTCATTTCTGTTAGGTAACTCTGATATATGTGAAATAAACCAGGTGGGTTTTGTTGCTGTTACAACTAAACAGTGCCTTCCCACCACATGTTTTGCTGGTGTGACTATGAGGTGATTTCAATGATTCCTCCCTGATTTTTAAAGACCATTAGAATGAGTTCAGTAGGGTGCAGCTCTGCATTACTGTTATTTCTCCCCCCGCTTCCCCTGCAAAACTGTTGTGTAACAGCTGAGCAGGCCAAGAGGGAGGCAGCTGAGCAGGAACAGGAGCTCCTGAAACAGAAACTGGAGGAGCAGCAACAAAAAACAGAGGCTCAAAACAGAACTTTCATGGAAAACCTAGCTCAACTGAAAGAGAAGATAAAGAGAGGAATATATGAGTTCCTGAGAATGCTGAAAATGATGTTCAAGCATAAAAGGAAGGTATGTCTACATGGGGCCTGGGCTGTGAGTCAGGGCAAAACTCTAGTTCATCAGGAAAAAAAGTCTAAAAAATGAACTAAAGGTCATGGCCTAGAGAAAAATCCAAGGCATATGATTTCCTGACATACCCAATAAACCTAGACTGTGTGAAGCCTTAAAAATGATTCAACACCTTCTATATCATTTGATTTTGCCTATTACAAAATGTGGATGACTGTTTATATGACTATAGGATCAGATTCTGAGCCCAAGTGAAGAGGACAGGAGTCTTCAAGTCCTTAGAGTCCTATGTTTCATAAAACCAGAGAGAGACCGGAAATAGATCCATTGGTATAGAATGTATCAAACTGTGCTTAATATAAAATAAGGGGTGCTAAAAGCACTAGAATTAATTCAATTTTATTACGAACTGCATGATTCATTCCATAGAGATAGAATGTATAGAATGTACATGAATAAACCTGGAAGGCATTTTTAAAGCATTCTTTGTCCCAACTTGGAGTGTGATAACCATGTTAGAGAGAGCCAGGATTCTCATTATTTCTGACCTGTGTGGCTAATGCGACCTCAGTGGAACCAAGAGATGGTTAAAATTATATCTACATTCCCTCCTAAATTCTGTTCATAGGGTTGGAACACACTGCTGTTATAGCTGTTGGGCTTGGCTTAGCCCCAATTTCTCCCCATTCAATGAGATATGTCCAGGGACTATAGGAAGCTACAAACTATGGGTACTCCTACTACCAGTTCCAAACTTTGGGATATATTTTACCAACTCATAAAAAAGCACCTAAGGTAGTGGGAAGTAGCAGGCATGCTTAGCTGCTGCAATTGTTAAATACAAAATGCTGATTACTTGGCGTTTTCAACAGGAGACTTTCTTCTTTTTACAGTTGCTAGAAGAACTACTTACTGAAGGATTTAATGAGGAATATGAAGAGCTAAACAAAGAGGCAAATCATCTAGAAGAAGATATTCAACAAACTAAAAGCAATATATCCACAGCAATCACTGTCGCCCTCCTTGTGGCTTGTGGTATATTAATTGTAGTACTGCCCGGGCCTCTTAAGCTCATTTGTGGACAACTGTTCATTACAAGCATAGTAACAATTTTGTAAAATTAAAAATTCACTGTCATAGGGGCTGCTATCATAAAACCTACATTCACTTTGTTTGAATTAATAGAAATAAATGGAAGATAAATTAGAATAAAATGACTTAGTCATAGAAAGTTTCCTACAAAGCAAAAAGACAAAATGTAAGATGAAGAAACCATCAAAAACCTATTGTATGGCCATGGAGATAATTTCTGTAAGCTATAACAAACTCTTATAAACAATGAGAAATGTTCACCACTACATTTTAAGTTGGCCGACTATTTTTTTAAAAAAGCAATTATATTGATTACAAAAGACATTCAAAGTAAAATTAGGAGTTGACTATGCCTTTGTCAAACACCATCTGGAATAGTTCTGACAGGAGATCAGATTGACACATTGGGAAACTGGCAGTCTCATATTTGTAGCAAGGGTGTAAATGGTGCAAGTGTTTATATATATGTATATATAAAATTTAAATGTGGGTCCTCCCTGGTAGTGCAAGTTAAAGTACAGCACTATGAGGCTATCCGAAGTCACTGTAGCACAAGTTTGATCCCTGCAGACCTCTGCCTATCTGCTCGCTGCTCCCCTCATCAGTTATTTCAGTCCGCTCCCCATTCTGTCTCTGGTGCACTCTCTCACCCGTTGCCCCTTTGGCCTATACCCCAGTTCTTGTATGCATAAATAAATAAATCTTTAAAAAAAATGAAATGAAATGCTGTTGATTCAACAAGTACTTTGGTCTTATAGATTTTTTTTTTTTACTCAACTTGAAAAGATATAAGTAATAATGTATTTGTTCTAAGATTTTTTTTAACATATTTTTTTTATTACAAAGTTTATTTTTACATCATTTTGCACATTTTTTTTTCCATCTCGATTGTAATCCCCGTGGGTTTCCCATCACCAAATCACCCCTGTGCCACCACCATATGTTCTAAGATTTTTTTGTAATTCCAAAAGATGAAACTACTTTAATGACCCTCCATTAAGTAACTACAGTGAGTGTGCATGGGTGAATTGGTGGTGGGAATCTCATGGGGATTACATCTGAGAGGAGAAAACATATATTGTACAAAAATTAAGAATGATGTAAAACATATATATAAAATAAAAAAGAATCCTCTACTGCCACTGAAATGATAATGTATAATGTATAATAATATACCTTTATACTACATGAAAATCGCTAAGATTTATCATAGGTAATAAGAAGCATTCAGAAAGGGTGTACAGGTGCACCACTGAATTTACAAATGAACAAACATGCATAATCATCATCTGTCCTGGTAAAACACGAACTAAACTAGTATCTGTGGGTACACAGTGGTGACAGGAGAGGATAACTAGCTTTACTTGTATATTCTTCTGTAACTTTTCTATCTAAGAGTTATTACTTATTCAAGAGAAAGTAGATACAATTACTAAAATGAGAATAGGAACAATAATCATGGATAGGGAATTCACATCACAGGAGGAATGGATGCTACGCTATGAGGAACTGCAAATGTCAGATCCCCACAAGAGTGTAGAGGAGGAAACAAAAAGTACAAGATGAATATCCTAATTTTAGCCTCTCAAAAACCTTGAAATTCTAATCCCTAACCTATTTTCAGATTTAAGTACTAAGATGTGAGTTGCGGTGGTTCCTAAAGTACAGCTCTCCTAGCAAATTTCAAGGTAAATTTTATTCAAGGTAAACTCACCATGCAGGAATTCTTTCCAGCTGTCTGGTGCTTATACTCTTAAGGTTAGAATGAAATGCTTGTAATTCAAAAAACTGTACCTATTCTTTTGCCTCAACCTGTTCACAAGGACACAAATGTTCTTAAACTGCCACCTTCATTCCTTATCTGATATTTCCTGCACTTACGGGGTAGAACATAGGACTGTGTTGGAAGGACTGATCCAGCCCAGCCCCCTTCCCACACCCAATGAGAGGTACACATTTTTTTGTATAGGCAGCTAGATGTCAGTCCCTGCTAGGCTACATCCACTCGTGAGTTCCAACTCAGAAAGCTACACTCCTAAGTGTAAGTCCAAACTACATTTGGACTTAACTTCTTTTATCCCACCTCTGCCTGGAACAATAGTGTAGTTGATCTATATTGGTCTGGAGTATGCTATTTCTTTATTGTGAAGAGACATTATCCTTTATATTTTGGCTTGTGTTATTATTATAATTCAAATATTCTTGAGGGAACTTAGGCTAAATACATGAATGACAAAGACAATCTTGGTCTCATAGGAAATATTTGTTTCCGCTGCAAACCAAGCAAAGCATTTCTACCTTAGCACTCATTACACACTTCTGAAACTGACATGACTATACATAGCTGCCTGCCCTTCCATTTATGTACATGATTCGTGATACCCAGCACATAAACAAATCAAAACTATCCAACAGGAGTTCAAATTACCATTTATTATGTTGATTGTTCTCTAGGGCTCTCATAGTAAAGGCCACAGTGTTCACAACTAGCAGAGGAGGGACTTGGGGACAGGAAGCAGACACAGTCTCCCAATTCCCTGGTCTGCGTAAGGAACTGGACACTCCACATGCCCAAGGTCCTCCCCCAAGAAATTACACAGCAATGAGCCAACATATTTGCCCGCAGCACAATTACAACATCTGAAAACAGTAAGAAAGAGCCTTTGTTGGGGAACCCCTCACTCCACCAGAATGCCTTTATCTACTCAATCTGTTTGAAATAGCACTGTGCTTTTTATGTGAACATCACTTCTCATTTAGCATGAGAGCTACAGGCTACCCATGGTGGTTTCTGTAGCACAGCTCTGCTTTCAAGAGGGTTGCAAGGGAGTGATAAGCTGTCTCCTAAATTCCTCAACCTAAATCACTGAAATGAAAGTCCTGCAGTTGATCTAGTCTTCAGGCCCTTAGTAGAAAAACTGAAAATATATTTGGATGTTCTGATAAAGGGGATGAGGGGCAGTGAGGGATTCTGCTTCCCCACAAGTCTGCCCAACACCTGTGCTTGACATACAAATAAAGAACAGTGAACATAAGATGATGACATGACATGATTATAGTCTAGAGAAAGGAAGAATTCAAGAGTAAGGTGAAGGATAATAAAAGCAGTGTGAAGGAATCCATCATTTTAGAGTTTATTCACAAATTGTCATTTGTTGAAATAAAGTATATATAGCTCAAGAATGGCTCCAAGTGAAAGGTCTCCCCATATGGACTGGACAATTACTACTGATTCAAAGATGTATACAGGAAATTTGTAAGAAGATGAAAGAAAGACATTCTTACAACCACTGTCTTGGATGGCATTTTGTTTGAACATTTCTACTTTCTTTTCTCCCTTTCTTCAGATTAGTCTTTAACCTGTTTCCTTTTAGCTGGTTATGGTGTAATTCTCATAGAATTCACTTTTTTTTTAAATTTTTAAAATTTTATTATTATTATTTTTTAAATTTT